CCGGCTATGCTCCGTCAATTTGATTTTCAGACCTGGCTGATCTCCAGGGTGTAACCATCTTTTTGATCTAATAGATTTGATTATCTTTTGTCAAAAAAAAAAAAAAAGAGTTAATCACTTCACATTTTCAAAGGTTCATAATATGTTCAAGGCAAAATTCACTTCCATAGCTATAACTTTTCACTTTGTGACAAATATAGCCAGATTCTGAGAAATACACAGAAATAGCCATTCCGTCAATTAATTTAACGGAACTCTAACCATGGCTGACTGGACAAACGATCGTCTGTGACCGCGCCTGCCTTGGTCTACGTGGCATGCCAGGTGGAATTTAAATTTAAATATATTTATTAAATAAAAAACATTAACAACAAAAAAAATCTCTCCTATTTACCATAATTTTTTTTCGGATCCATATTCCCTTATCTCCTTCCCCCGCATCCAAGTTCTCTCTTCTTCTCCTTTACCTCTTTGTGTCTACCCTTCCACTCCCATCAACCCGCCGCACAAGTAATCGGCGGTAGTAAGTAGTAACCGCAATCAGAGAAACAATCACCACCAGCACCATAGGGCTTCATCTTGAACCATCGCCAAATTCGAGCTCATCAAGTTCCACCATTCTCGAGATCCTCTAGATCCGCCATCGTAATTTTCCTTTTGGCACTTCGACTTCTTAATCCGACTCCCTAAATCCAGATCTGCACTGCACCTCGTCGTCATCTTCCTCTTCGTCTTTCCCATCTTCCCTCCATCTCTGGACTGGGGTTTGGCAGTTGCGGCAGTGGTCGAGCAAAAACCCTAATGAATCGGCGATGTTGAAGAAGAATCACAGTTAATAGTCCTTTTCCAACAGCCCCTTCTCTGCCGCTGCTGCTTCTTCCCCATCATCGGCGGGATTTGATCTTCAGCCGCCGTTGGAGTTGCGGACAACGACCCCGTTTGAGCTTCATTGGCGGCTACAGGGGAAAGATAGAAGCTTGCAGGAGGAAAGATGAAGATGAAAAGAATGGGTCCATTGTGTTGGTGGTGTTTTCATATCTCTCTCGAACCCAGGAAATATTTTTTTGTTTTGACAGAACGAACCCAGGAATCAAAAATTGACTCCCTGGTTGTCATTGGGGCTCACTCAGAAACAGAGGGATGCCGCCGCAGGCCGCAATCGACGTCTCCCACAAGCCTCCTTGCAAAACCCTAAAGCTCTGGGCCTCCTCCTAGAGCGCTGAGAGAGTTCAGCAAGCACGAGATATGCTATCTCCATTGTGAGTTCCTCCTTGAAAAATCCACATCGAGAAAATGAATAACCCTAAGCGACGGCACTGATTCTACAATCACAAGCAACGACGCCTATAATTGGATTTTTTTTTGTTTCATAATTAATAAAAGAATTATTAATTATTTTATATAAATAATTTTAAATCAATCATATTTTTAATCCTATGTGGCGTACACGTGGCATGACATGGCGACTGAGAGTTGATGTGGGTGCTTAGGTGGCGTCCACCTCAGCTAATTGTTGACGATGTTAACGGAATCTCTAACACCGTTAATATTTTTAACGAAAATGGCTAAATTTGTCAAATGTATTTTCAAAATGTGGCTATTTTTGTGTATTTCTCAAAACTTGGCTATATTTGTCACAAAGTGTAAAGTTATGGCTATGGAAGTGGATTTTGCCTATGTTCAATAAAAAGCTTATTGCATAATTTGTAGGGGTGGGCACGTGGATGGTTAATTCGCGGATTGATATTGATCCACCCGCAAATAATCAGACCCGCACGCAAGGGGTGATTGATGTGGGTGGATTGCGTATCGTTAAATCTCTCACCCGCACTTATGTGGATGGTTGGTGGGTGGATTGCGGGTTACCCGTATGACCCGCATCCTATTTTTACATGAAAAATGTTATTTCCTATAGTATCAAATATTCATAATATTTTCGAATTGCACTACAGTCGGACCATATACTTCAAAAGGTGGAGAATAAATAATATTTTTTTACTACTATTATTATTGGTTATTGTGTTGTGCAATATCCATTACATATTGGATATTGGTATGCAAATTATTGTTAATATCCATTAAATATTAGGATGCAACCCAACCACATCCATCCGTCATCCAACCCAACCCTACCCGCATAAGTATGTGGGTGGATTGCGGGTTGCAATTATTACAACTCGCTAGTAAACAGATGAATCAATTTAAAATCAAAACCCACCCAACCCGCCCATTACCAACCCCTAATAATTTGTATGTACCTTATTCCTCTTTGAAAGAGGTTGGGTTAACCCACACTATGTTTGGCAACAAGGGGGGTGCAAGTTCGAGGGGGGTGCAAGTTGAGGGGTAAATTGTTGGGGGGTGCAATTTGGTGGAGGGTGTAAGTGGAGGGGTAAATTGTTGTTTGGATGAAAAAGTAGGGGGGGTGCAAATAAAGTAAAATGTAAGTAATTATATTCTTATAAAATAGATTTATCAATTTATAAAATATTATCACAAAATAATAACATGAAAATTCAATATATAATAATAATAAATAATAAATAAAATTAATTTTAATAAAATTAATTATTATATAATAATGCTAATACCACTAGGAAACCCGAACTATTAACTTTGTGTCATTTGTGTCCTAAAGTATTCGATATGACATTTGTATCATGATGTATGGTTGTTGTGTGTCATTTATATCCTAGCAATTTTGTTGACCGTTAAAGATAACGGTTGACCTAACGGTCATCAGTAAAATGTTGACCGTTGGTTACGTGGCACATATGTGGCGGCCACGTCAGCTGACACATCATATTATTTATGAAAAAAATTAAAAAAAAAGTAAAAAAAAAATTCTTAACAAAAATCTTCTTCCCCAGCACTTCACCATCCTCCGCCGAATCCGACCCTTCAAATCCCGACGTTGAATCTGGACGTCGGCGCTGAAGGAATCCCCTGCGACTTTGAGCTCAATCGGAGGAACCACTTTGATCGTTTGCCCAAAATTCGCATCTCCAGAAATTAATGGATCTGAAATTAGGTTTTGAGGTATTCCTCTTCCCACCTCAAAGCCTCTCTCTTCCAGACCCATCTCCCGTTCCCAGCCCACCACCATGGTCGGGGAACTTGACAGCTGCTCACTTCAGCTCGTAACCATTCCCGATCTGGTTCCTGTAGATCTCGTGTACATCCGCCTTAAAATGCTCGATCGGAGTGACAGAGTGAGTTCCACCTCTCATTTATCTGCTCCCTCCCCTGATCTCGATCTCAATGATTAAAGCAGCTAGCTAATCAAAGTTTATCTTTCTTTTCAGATGTTGGGCTACGCCGACGATGAAGGCAGTCGGGGATCCTCGCCGAGATGGGGAAACGAAAGGGGAGATAGAGGACCTTCGTCGTCTCCTAGATCGATTTCGCGACGACCTGTGGGCATTTTCAGCTTGGAATCGCTGTCGCCCCTTCACTTCATCTCGCCTCTGTTGGTGTGATTTAGGAACCCATGTTCTGGTGTGGATTCTCTGTAGGTATAGCTCGACAGATGGTGAAGGTGGTGGATTTGGTGAGTGTGTGTGGGGACTCGAAATTTGACGGCGCCAGATCCGTAGCAAGAGGCTGGAGGAGGAGGTGATGGAGTTGAAGTGGTTGAAGACGAAATCGACAGCGATGGTCGGGTTCGGCGTTCGGTCCCCCGACCCGTCCGCCATGGACTCGACGATTCCCCAGAGCCCCGGCGACGATTCCCCTGCCCCCGGCCAGCAGTTCGCCCAATTCGGAGCTGGGTGCTTCTGGGGAGTCGAATTGGTGTTTCAGAGGGTTTCTGGATTGTCAGATGGTTAGCAGTTCTTGGGGCTCGTTTGTAGAACTGGGTGATGTCTGTTTTTCTTGTTTTTGGTTGCTGTATGTGATCTATGTTAGTGAAAGCTTGTGAGTCCTGGAGGAAAATTGCTGAGGAAGGAGAAAGGGGAGAGGTTGGAGGCGGAGAAGGGGGCCGTGAGAGGTGTGATTTGTTTTTTTTTAATTTATAATATATAATTTTTTTTATTTGATGGAAAAATAAATAAAAATTAATATTAAAATTCCATGTCAGATGCCACATAAGCGCTGACTAGACTTTCTGTTAAAAACTAACGGTCAACGCTAGTCAACTCTAACGGAAAAATAGTTTAGGACACAAATGTCATATCGAATACTTTAGGACACAAATGACACAAAGTTAATAGTTCGGGTTTCCCAGTGGTATTAGCCCAATTATTTATAACAACAATAATAATCATTGGTCGAGCAACCTCGAAACTCAAAATCCAACTCGTAACTGGTCATCCTAAAGAGGTTCTCGTACCTAACTTTAAATTGAATATGGTCAAACTTAGTCAAACACGTTCGAATCTGTAAGTTTTAACTACTTATTAAAGTACATCGAGTTAACTAAACTGTTCCTCTCTATCTTTTCAACAAACGCTTCTTATCTCTAATTTTCAATGCAAATTCGGGTCAACTAAGAGATATCGATTTGACTAGGCGAACATTGACAAACTTGCTCTGAGTCAAATGGTCAACCCCAAACAACTTCTACACTAATATAGATATAAGAAAAAATTAATAATATTAATTATTATGTAATTATAATCTAATTAAAAATTCATAATTCCCCTCCTCCCCCTTCCCCCTCCCTTCCTTCCTTCCCTTGCACCCCAATTTGGGGGGTAAGCCGAAATAGTGAATTTACGCTCACGTTTTGCACCCCCCTACTGTTACAAAATAACCAAACGGGGGTAAACACCTTGAAACTTGTGTTTACCCCCCAAACTTGCACCCCCTTCCATTTACACCCCTTCCCAAACATAGTTAGACCATATTTTAAATATACCCAGCAGAGACAAGCTCTAACCAGTGAAAATTAATCAAACGGTTTGAATGAGTTGCTCGGTTAACCGCTTGGGCCGGTTTCCACAAACTCAACTCTCACTAAAACAGTCAGAAGTGGCACCCGAGCCATACTAGGGGTCGGTTCCCAATCAAACTAGCCACTAGCCAGTCATTCCGGCTTTGATAACAGTAGTAAAAACACACTAGGTAAATGCTACATTTGGTCACTGAAATTACTAGAGTTTGATAGTGCGTAAAAGGACAACAGCAGGTACCTTCTATTGCAAGGAACACATTTACAAGCGTCGCAGTAAGCTGAACAGCTCCCAAAATTGATTACCTTCATCTATACAAACTAATAGCTAGCAACTGTACAAATCCCGTGACCACAGAAGACAGGAAATGGCAACAAAGGGCCTGTTAAGTTTTGCTGAGAGGCCAATGAAAATTCGCCAATTTTCTGGCGACGACTGAGGTCCAAGGATTGATTCGAAATTTTACTGCAACTTCACTGGATGAACACCCTGAAATGAAGTAATGAAATAAATGAGCCCTAAGTACAGCAATGCAAAAGTAAGCTAGCACAAGCCAGAGAGAACACTGTGCACAGTGCACACCCTAGAAATGTCTACAGCTGCTGCGTGATACTGTGAAAACTCCAAGTATGCTTTGATAACTACCATTGTAGGTTTTACAACTTTTTACAGATGAATCAAATTCTTAGTCGTGCTACATATAAATACACCAAAAAATTGATAGAAAAAACACTGCTCGGCTAGTCCGACTAATACTGAAATGAAACTGTTAACACATTTCCAGCAAACATATATTAGAGTCCATAAGATCTGCAACATCATAGTTCGGTTTCTATTACTGGAAAATATGCAGGTTGACAATGATATGAAAGCCTGGATTTGCTATTGAAGAACTTCAGTACTTCTCATTCCATAAACTATTATAACTACGCAGGCAGTGAAAAACATCACATGTACTCCCTAACGCACCACATGGTACACACAAACTAGAAAGGCATTCATTACTAGCGAATGTAAAAGAAAAACAATAAGAAACTAACCTTTGTTCATTTGGGTATGGAAGGTGCTTCATGTTCCAAAAATTTCCACGAGGGTCGAACGGGATCTGACAAAGGCATACCCACCTCTAAAATACGCTTAATCCATTTAATTTGGTTGACAAGTTCCTCCAAATCAAAGGCAGCTACTTCTGCTTTGTCGGGGCACATGGAATTCAAGGAAAAACTTCCATCAGTCTTCAATTTCTTGGAGATGCTTTTAAAGGCCCCATAATCCGGGTGACCATTTCCCTGAGTTAATCCAGCTTCCAGAGTTGATGCATCTCTAACACGAGGAATTGGCACACTGTCCAAAGAACTTGTTTTACTAGCATCACTGTTTGCCACATCCGTATCAGAGTTTTTCCCAGTATTTTGCACCTTTTGGGAAACACCACTGCCAAGAGGCCCTTCTGGTTGTTGCTCTGATCTCCCTAAGGGTGGTAAAGAACTAGCTGAAACAAATGAAGCTGAAGGACCACTGTCATCAGTTGTCTGGATGTTGTCTCGCGCTTCCTGAAGTCTGCCTGTAAGCAGAACAGTTCCAATGTCAATCGATTATCAATCCAAACTCCTGGAAAGAGAGAAGCTAGCAGAAACAAAGTAAGAAAGCTGAGAGCATTCACCATCGGCTGATGCCCAATGAACACTGTCTTCCCCTTCATGAACACCCTGAACTCTGGCTGTAAGCAAAATAGCTCTAACGTAAACCAACTATGGCCACAGCCCACATGAAAATGAAGAAAGCATGTACAATAGTGAGGTTCATGCAAAGACAACTTTAAGAGCTCAACTAAAGTTCCCTGTATATTAAATCCTTGTCACAAACATATGTCGCAGGCAGGAGATATGGTTCAGAAGTTAGTCTGGCATTGTAGGCTAAATGAACAATTTCAACGTGCCGCCCAACATGGTGATTGCCTTGAGAAATTTGGACATAGTCCAAACAAAGTCCCAGATCCTCAAACGTTTAAATAATATTACTGTGACAGTTTTCTTATGCTCGGCCATGAGTGATCAAGTCAGTTCAGACGCAGGAGATCTCTTATAAAACTAGCAAACCAAATGTTTACAATACCACACTTCCCTATGTCAGTTTTAGACATGCACAAGTAGCAGTTAGAACACACCATTGCCTACTTACTGCTATACTGAAACTAATTAGCCAATCATGTCAAGAGAATTAAGCTCCAATACAGATCGCACCTAGCTACAGCCATTCTGAAGCATCACAATATCTACCATCTTAAAGGATACTCATTAGAATGCTTTCAAACGCCACTAACTCAACCATTGTCCCAAAAATGATAGCCATCATGATATCAAAACCAAAGATCTGCTTAATTAAGTGAAACGATCCAGTAAGTAGCTAATGTTTATCCAGTCTTGACTATCCATCACCAAACGGATCTAAACCTCAAAGCATATGTTCAGAATAGCCAGGGTAAATGGTGACTCATCAGGTCAAGTTTCTAATGACAGACAGTACAACTGTCAACAACCTCGAATGCACAATATAAGTCACAAGCAATACAAAAGATATATCACATGAGTATCCAGATAGGAAGGAAACGCGACACTATAAGACTGCACAAGAACCATCCAGCATGTTTCAACCTATGAAGCACATAGCTGGCCACGAACATGTACATTGATTGGCTGTCAAGGAGAAAGCTAACATGTTCAGACACAAATCAGCAGATGAAAGACAGCACTCTTCTGCACATGCTAAGAAACATTTCACACAGCAATAGCATGTACCATACTGCCTGTAACTAAATAATAATACTGGTCCATATTTAGAAAAGCACAATATTGTAATAAAGACAGAAGGAACGAGATTGACACTGCTAAGGAGATCATATGCTCTAAATGTTTAAATGGCTAACAAGAAATCTGAAGCTTTACCTGGATTCAAAGATTTAATTAAACGAGCGCAATGCTGGCAGTTTCCACTTCCCTGTAGTAAATAAGGATATGCCGGAATGAAATTGGTTTCATGGGAAAACATCAGAGGATAATATAGGTTGAGTTATATCTGCGCACTGGAAAATGGAGGTTGGGGATTATATATCCTTAGCCTTTTCAAAATGTTATATACGATATTCAAGAAACTTCATACTGTAGTAAGTTTCCAGTTTCCAGCCACAAAAGGAAGGACCAATGAATGAACTAGAGGAAACCAACTTGGAAAATGAAATGGCAGCAAGTGAGGATAACAGCAGGAACATGTAGTCATTTTACACCTTTCACTTTAAATTGCACAAACAAACAAGAACAGTGCGCTCAGAAATCTTCTAGCAATAAGGTTTTCTACTGAAAAAATGCGTCAACAAGGTGCATGCATCCAAAATAAAGACACAATGATTGAAGTCATTTGAAGATTACAAGGGAACCACCTCAGGGATCGTCCATCCATCTAATGGTGACCAATTCAAAGCAGGTCGCAGATCTTTGCCTGAAACATCATAAGAATTCCCTTCACCCTTAGGAGGTGGCAGCAATTTGATCTGTGCAAACAGGCAAATGATTAAGATTTTGAACCACTAAAAGACACTAAGAATGAGGAATTGAAAAGCAATAGCAAAGGGCACAGAGAAAAAGCATTCACAAACAAAATCATGGGCGATGCAACATCAAGACTTGAGAAGCAAGAATAGATTTGCTCGTGGTAGGTGTAGTTCATACCAAAACCTACCCCAGGTATCAGTATCACAATCATCAATCCAATTAAGACACCCCAAGGAACTTTAAGAGATTCCTACCACTGGTATCTTGTCACGAACAGGTTTAAACAACAAAAGAAGCAGTATAATCGAATGCCCTCCTAAAAGAAGAGAATTTTGTTTACTAAGACCTCCAACAGCAGTACTGGTAGAATTATCCACTTAATTGACGCTGTGACTTATTCTAATTGCTTGCATTATAGCAAAGTAGTAAGGTCAATGAAATTTACGATGAAACTACCGAGCATGTGTTTATTTATTCATTGATAGGACATGTTAACCCCAATATCAGAACCCAAGGTGGAGAAGGATATACATGTTGATCCAAACCTGTATATCTATTCTTATAACTTCTAAGTTAAATTTTAAGTCGTGATAAAAGGTTATTAGTACTTAGAACAACACTAAAACGCATCATATACTATTTTCAGGGAATGGATCAGGTCAGTAACCTTATGGTGAGTAACTATGAGTAATCCGCCCACATCAGCATGACATCAGCATCCTCTCTCTCCTGGAAAGCCTTTAATTTTCCCCTCCTTAATCTTTGATGGACGATTTCTCACTCGTTTTAAGTCAAAATTTAATTTTTTTTGCACAGTTAGATCAGATTAATTGTGCTCTTCAAAATGATATCCACTTTGATATATTTTTCGAACAAAAAAAAAATGAGCAATTTTTGACCAGTCTATACCATATGGTATTGAATGGTATTGAAATAAGAGCATATCTATGGTTTGAAAAGCGTACCATGGTGGTATGAACAAACCAAGACTGTAGGATGATTGAATACATGATAGTATAAGTATATTAATTGTTATTTACGACTTTTAACATTGTATACCATAAGATACCATAAAATACCACCCCGTACCAGGGTGGTATTGTATGGTATTTGGTGGTATTTTTTGGTCTTGTAATTTGTTCACCCAGAAATTTGTAGATCCAATAGATAATGATGAACTCGTCCCTGTTGTGCAAACGTTTTCAAAAACGAATGAAAAACGAAGAAGATACCATATGGTATGCAGTTGGTACCGAGAGGCCAAAATTTTATTTCCCTAAAAAAATATTGAAAATTGATCTCATTTTGTAGAGCACGATGAACTCGTTCCATCTGTGCAAAAAAAATTAAAATCCGAGTTAAAACGAAAAAGATATGAGTCAATTAAGAAAGCTAGTGAAAATAAAAATGACATTTAATTCTCCATCCTTAGATCTGGATTTTCTAAATGAAGGGTCCATTATTGGTTATTGATGGGTGCATAACCATGGGTTATGCACCCTATCTTGAGCCCTATTTCCATCTAACTTTTGGATCGCATAGTTCCATGTACAACATAATCATAACAAGAAAACACTAACTCAGTCCCTTGAAATGTGATTCTACTGACATTGATACTTAGGATTTAGAAGATTGAATCCACTATTCCACATAACAGGTCTGGCTATGTTATGTCAAGAAAGGCTTCTTAGGCATTCTCAGAAGAGCCTACTTAAATCAGTAGAATATACATCAAGCATTTTCTACAGCCACTCACCGAGTGTGGATTTCGCAATATTAATACCACTCCAAACAAACAAACTCAGTACTACTTCCAGGAAAACTAAAAGATCTATATTTAATTCAGGACGTATCCATAAAATTAAACCAAGAAGCAATAGGGATGAACAATTTTACGAACAAAAGCCACCTATTCAAGTAAAGACTTCTCCAGAACTCGACTTCAAATTAACATAAAAGGATCATTCCAAGGCATATGATAGAGGTGTAGCTTGTGGCTATCTGCCAACATTAGATAGCAACATTGACTACATTACTGAACCATGAAGATTGTCAACAAGAAAATTTTCACATTAGAAGGCAGAAGCAAATAAATCTTATCCAAGAAGTTAGGGGTCGTTTGGTTTTGGTTATAGTTAAATTGATGCATTGTCATCAATGCATGCATAATAATATACATGTATTCGTTTGGTTTATGTGATAGTTACGGTAGCATTTAAATAAATTATATTACTTTTTGAGTGAAATATCACTTTTACCCTTTGTTTTTTATATAAGCAACACATAAAAAGGTAGGGACATAGTTGGAAGAAAAAAATACTCAACATTCTCAATCTCACCAAACCTGAGACTTAATTATCACTCATTTTGAGTGGCAATTTGTGTCATTTCAAGCAAACAATGCATGTATTGTTTGTGCAGAAAATTCAAAAAAACAATGCATTATGGACAATATATGTATTGTAACTATATTAATCAAACAATCACCAAAACCAAACGACCCCTTACATGCAACCACTGGAAGTAAATTACCCGTCAAGAATCGAACTTTGTTGATCAGTGAAACAAATAACAAATTACCTGAAACTTCTCATTTTCTAATACTTTTGTCAATCTTCCAGTCCAATAGCAATCAGCATACCACCAATCCACCAAATCTCCTACCTTCCACAACTCATTCGCCACAACAGCGACATCTACGATGGTATCGACATCGGGCAAATTACTTTCACGATAAACAGGAGGAAACCAAGGACGCACCATTAAATGCTTTTCCCCAAGCTTTGTAGCCTTCTGATATAATTTTGTCAATCGTATCTCTGCACACACAGTTAACAAAAAGGGATACAGGTCAAATAATTCTACCTAGGCTCCAATTGATTCAAAGAGTGCCTACCTACATAACATTCAGTAGCCAGCTTCTCCAATCAAAGATGCATTTCCAACTTCTAATATGGACTGATCAAAGTTCGATTCTCCTTTTCCCAACTGTTCTTTATCTTTTTACCTTATGTTAACGTTCTGCATTTCCGATTCCCTTCATGTCACTTCCCTCCAAATTAACAATTAGTCATTTACACACCCATCTATTTTAATGATTCCACTAATATAACTTCCCCAAAGTAAAATGTATAAAGTGTGGTAGCTAAGCTAACGCACAAATGGAGGACTTACTTTCATCAGGAAAGTCAATATATTCCAAGGAATAAGCAATCCCAGCTTTCGTTGAACGTATGTTCATTATCTGACGTGGCAAATGAAGATATGAACAAGTAAATGACCTTTCTTCATTAATATGAATAGCAGTAAAAGTATTGCCATCCCATATCAGAAAACGCAGCTAGAGAACCATTTAGTGTCTTTTAGGCCTAAAATAAATAAAAGTGGGATGAAATAGTCAGCAAATTCCAAGAGAAAAATATCTTGAATTTTACTAGCAAAACTATGTTCTAGCACAGCAAAAAGCAACATAGAAAACAATTTTAGACTAACAGATAATAGTGATGAGTCAAAGAAATGGAATGTTATTCATGCATTGACCTAAATTGAACAAGTTCATTTTTCTTATATAGAAGCCCAAGCAAGCACTACAAATGTTCTTGTGGTACAAGAAAAGGCACACTATTAAGAGGCACGAGTTTTTTCAGAGATGCTTGTACTTAATCACATAAGTAAAATATGGATATTTATTCATATAGACAAACAAAGTTAACACCATACTTTAGTAGTTGATTCAACATTCTTTACTACCTTCACCACATACTTTAAGTCGAAGCGAAATTAAGTTACACAACTTCTTCCAAATAGGAATGGTTCGTCATATTTTGAAAATGTGACAAACAACTCCCCCTATAGATTTAACAATCCCTCCCTTAGCGTGTATTATTGCTTATTTCGTAAAAATCTCTCGCATCAACTTCATTGCTGAAATTTTGTTATGTTCGGGATCTCAATTGTTGACACAACTTTGGGGCGAATGAATGACTTATTCAATGTAGAAGTCACAAGCATGAGTAACTGAGCAGCTCAAGGTTGTTGAGTCAACTATTAAGCATTCAAGTTAACGAACTCGTAGCATTGAAGCTAATGAACAAATTTTTTTAGAATAGAACAATAATGTGGAGGTTTAACTGTCCAAAATTTGAAGGCTAATTTGTTCTCTTTGCATAATACAATGTTGACATATCAAGCATCATTTAATAAGATTACAAAGCATTGCATCCTTATCAACATTATTTGCATATAATTCTTCATTCATACACTAGCATGAACTTATAGCGTGATGAGACATCTTTTGTCAAAGTTTTCCAAACTCTTCAAATGCCTCATGGCCATCATTCCAAAAGTAAAAACACTAGCAGATCATGAATGCTTGAATATTGGAACCAAACAAGTACCTTGCAACGAAACCATGCGCCACGATAACCATGTAGGAATGATTTGACCTCGACAAGTTGGCCCACTTTAAAGGGAAGCGCATTCCTTTCTAAATCCATCAAATATTTGGACTACAAAATGACAAGAAAAAGGGGTTAGAAAACTGCATCTTCAAAAGGAAAATAATGAGCCTAGGGTTTATAGCATTTAAGGAACGTAGGAAATGCCACAACTCAACCAAGGTCCGGAGCAACATGTAAATTAACACAAACAAACATTATTGAACCGAAGAAAATCTAATAGCAATGTTCTAATATACAAAGGTTAAGCCATCGGCTAGAATCAATAGAGCTTAGTGTCTTCATTTTCACAACTAAACTTCAGCATATCAAGCGAAACATTCTTCTGGAGTTCTCTGGATATGTTGCAAATATGAACTATTTATCGATAGTTTTCTTCTCTATAAAAAAATGCGAAGGGTCATTCGTTTGCTTGATTGAGAAATTGGATATTTGCCCCCAATTCATGAATTGTTATGCACTTATGCTTGAACAAGAATTATATTTTGGCTAGTTTTTTTTGGTGATGCATAATGGTAGAATTGTATGTCTATGGATTGACCTTGAAACATCTCCTCAAGACCTAAGATTCTAAACCTCACCACATTTGGACCGTTCTATCCCTAACATGTACCAACTCCAACAAAAACCCATTCTTCACCATTTTGGTTCCATTTTGTGCTCTCTCCATCCATCCATCCCATCGATTACAAATAATAATGTACAATAGTTCAGCATTCCTTGCTCGCTTCGCCAACTTGAGATTTCACCATTGAGCCGTCGTATCTACTAACAAGTGAATCTACTCGAACTCTCCAATTATCCTCACAAAATTGACATATGTGCGTTATCCAGCAAAAAAAAAGATACTTTTAGGGGATCAACAAACTTTCTAGATGATCTTTTCTAAATAATGCATTTAAGTGCCAATATCGACCTCATAGGGTGATGCACCTTGCTCGGCTTTACCCACAATTTATCCTTTCATACCAGCCGATAACAATAGGATTAGTTGTGTTGTGAATTAAATTTATAACTGATAAATAGGATTAATGCTATTGTATTTGTAGTCATACAAGGTGTAATAAGAATTTCCAAAGCTTTGCAATTCCTTGTCCTTTCTTAGACTATTGACCTCTATACAGCATCAAGCTACTAAATCACATCACCAGGTAGTGTAAAAATTCTTCTTACATCCTATACAAAAAATTATGGTCTCCGCTACTTTTTAAGAAAGAATGTCTAGTTCTCCTAATATATTTATAACAATCACATATCACAATCCAATCCTGAAACATGAAATTCTTTTTGTCATGCCAGAGAGAATAAAATATTGGATTTCATGGCAAGAATAATGCTCTACCTATAAATAACTTGATTCTTAATCTTAACTCTTTTTAATTATTACGACAACCCTCTATGTGGCATGGTATGTATGCTTTTAATTTAAGAAAGAATAAATGATATATCTAACTACAATAAAAGATCCCAATCCATAAAGAAAGACCAACCTCCGTCACCAATAAGCCTATTGTTGCCTTTGTCGTTGCCTTCTTGTCATCTCTCAATCGATTCTTTTTGGATTGCTTTCTACTCGTGCCATAGTTGCTAAACTAAGAGAAGAATGAAAATGGCTTATGAATTGAACAAACTCAAATCAACTATGAAACACAAACATTCAAGCCATGATTTGTAATATAAACCTATATAGAGTGGAAACTTCTTTCTAAATAGAACCCTAATAGATGAACCGATTATCAACAGTACATATAAAATTAAGATTTATAGTACATCTATAATAGAAAGACAACAAGAGATGGTGGAAAGTTCGATATGCATCGTTAATAGATTAACCTGCTATCAACAATCATTTAATATCTACGTGAAATCTTATCTAGGTGATTCAATTAACTATAAATCGAAACAATCCATGAAAAAAGCAATTTTTCTCTTTGGTGTTTTTGGTTTGTAGGATTCAGATTGTTTGCATGATATGACGGGGAAAAAACATTTTCTTTATTTTCAGGTACATATACACACCATACATGTATTGTTTGCTTGATGTGACGAAAACAACCATTCACAATGAATGGTTGTACAATCTCTAACTTTTTGCTGAGTTTTAAAAATAGGTCAATAGAGATTGTTATCTTTTATTGTTACCACTTTAATCTTTAAAATTAACTCTTGCATTGAAAAGAAAGGGTAGAAGTGTAATTTATGGAAAACATAATCACATATATAAATGTCATAATTCACAATATACCAAAGTCAATCAGTACATGTATAATCAAATCATGGTTCAAAAAGGCTCACTTCAAATTAGGTCTATGCACACCTATGCATAGGGGTGGAAATCGGTACGGTATCGTTATCCCAATACCGAATACCGAATTACCCCCTAAAATCAATCTCAATCCCAATCCCTAAATAATTTCGGTATCCCAATCTCAATCCCTAAATATTTTGGTATCCCAATCGGTATCTCGGTATCCCAATCGGTATTATCAAATACAAAATTAATTATCTTTGCAATGAACAATTAAATATATAAATTCGATTTGATTGTTCAATTTAGGGCAAAAAAACTAAGCAAAGAGTCTTGAGTTTTTCTAGAGTTAGGACATGGATAGGGAGAAGGGAGGAGAGGTGACAACTCAAGTTCTTGTCATTGGCAATCTTTAATTCGACGAATTGGAGGTTGAGAGACGACTAATACTAGGATTTTCTTTTTGATGTTATGAAAATAACAAGAGATTAGATGAGAGACGAGAGTGACTTAAACTGGAAAGCCATAATTGAGTTGGATGAGGACTTGTGAGTTATGAAAGAGTGGGGAATGATCAAAAGTTGTGTGCTATATTTCATTAATTTTTATTTTTTGGTTGTTTCTCGGTATTTCGGTATATTTCGGTATATACCGATTTCAATCCCGTAATCCCGAATACCGAATAGCACTCCAAAATGAATCCCAATCCCAATCCCTAAAAAATAAATCGGTATTCGGTAATACCAAATAGTGATAAGTTCGGTACAGTATTCCGTATATCCCAAATACTGGTACCAAACTTCCAGCCCTACCTAGGCACTAGGCAACACCAAAATTACCTCGTCTACGGTTCAACAACAAGTTAGAAATTAACAATGTCACAACGAAGTATAGCAACACCTAAGTGTTGCCTATGTTAATGCGCTAGGCAACGTCAAAATACCTCGTCTACAGTTCCCCAACAAGTTAGAAATTCACTATGTCATAGTGGAACACGGCGACACCAAAGTCGCCTAGGTATAACTAGGCGGAACTAGACAGTGAATATGAAAATGTAAAATTAACATCATTTACAAAGTCAATTTTTTTTCAGTGGTAATTTGGGTGATGGACTTAAAAAATAAGACAATTTGACTCAATTGACACAAGATTACTTTATCTCACAATTGATAAATCATTTCGAAATACTTTATCTCTCCCTCTGTCAATTCAAAATGATGCAAAACAAAGTAATTCAAATTGTTTAAGCTCAATTGTTGTATCTCAGTTCTGTGTTGTCAAACGAGACAATTTCACTCAATTGTTTCATTAATTCAGGCTTAATGATACATATTATACCCTTCATTTCATGATCATTGCACTTAGTGTTCAGTATGTCTTGGCCTATATTACTCTAGTTTGTGATTTGTTTATCATATTTCTCGTCTAAGTTTGCCTAGGCACAAGTCAAAAGGAAAACGCCTCGACTTGGCAAAAAGTAGCAGAGTAGGCGTTATGATCATGTTATGGCCTCGGTAGCGCCTAGTCAACATAGAGTTGTGTATCAAAAGAATGGCACTTCGTCTTTTTTCTACCTTTTGATATTTTATATTATGCAATGTTGATAATCAAATCACAACCTATATTACCCTGAGATTTCTCCACGGTCTGAACAGGGAATTCAGACAAGAGGTTGAGCTCAGGGCCTTTGTCGGCTTGGAGGAAGCTCTTCACCTCGCAATTAAAGTCAAAAGGCAACAGAGAACCTCAAGGAAGAGCACCCCGGCAAGCAAGGCAGGGACAGAGACACCTGCAGAAGCTAATCCCCAGCAATTGCGACCCGAGTCAGGAAAATTGAATCTAAGGAACGCTCAACCAACCTCTAATGAACACTCTGGAGGGATACAGTGCTACAAGTGCCACGGAAGAGGGCACAAGCCAACCAGTGCCCTAACTTGAAGACTCTGGTGATCAGAGACGGCGAGTTTCTCACCGATGTCAAGCAAAATTCCAGCGACGAGGAAATTGATGATAAAATTGAAGTCGAGCCTCCACCTAGTAAGCTTTTAACTGTGAATCGAAGGGCTTTAACCATTGAAACGCAGAAAGACCTGAGCCAAAGGGAAAACTTATTTCATTCCCGTTGTTTGGTTGCCAGGAAACTCTTGTCGGTAATCGTTGACGGAGGCAGCTGTGCCAACGTGATCAGCCAGGATACTATGGACAAACTCGGATTAAAAACTAACAGGCATCCAGACCCTTATAACCTGCATTAGCTTAACGATTATGGACCAGTTCGAGTGTCGAGCCAAGCACGGGTGAAGTTTGAGATCGGAGCTTACCACGACGAGCTCGAATTTGACGTCGCCCAGATGCAAGCTGTGCATTTACTTCTCGGGAGGCCCTGGCAATTCGACCGAGGTGTATGTCACTATGGAGGGTCGAACTTGTACAAAGTTCGGCACAAGGGGAAGGAGATTCTGCTAAAGCCCCTGTCACCGAAAGAAGTCCGAGAAGATCAACGACAGCTTGAAGCTAGTCAACGTCGATCCAAAGGTAAATCAAGTGGTAAGTCCGATAAGAGACAATGTCGCCACTCTTGTCACTCGGCGATACATGTTGACTGGGTACAAGAAAGAAAGGAAGATTCGTCACCGCCGACCCTGCCAACCATCGCCGGTGCAGAGCAGAAGAGAGAGTGAATTGGTCGCAGCAACTGACGAAGAGTCGATCCAAACGGCGACTGCAGGCACGTTACAAATTGCGCCAGGAAGCTCAAATGAAAGTTGAATTGGGACTAATATAAATGGATTCCCGAGTCCAATTTGAGCAGATTTTGCTCTGAAAACGGCCGAACTCGAGCAAAAAATAGAGTCTGTGGGTTGGAGCGATTAGAGGTGCTTCGACTCAATCCGCTATTGCAGAATCATTCAAGGCAATCCCATGAAGCTTTCAAATCATTCAATTCAACATGGAATCCTGTATCAATAACGCCCAATTCACGATTGAACTTTCTGGGTTTGGAGAATTTGAATGACGACAACGGCGGGAAAGAAGCTGGCCACGATTCAATGACGAAGAAGATGATTCGAGGTACGAGACCCATCCAGAACTTCAATTCGAAGCAAAAGGAAGTCATTGGTGGCCTTGGATTGGACTGCGGATCCCTGAATGCAAAAGCCTCAATTTTGCACATGAAGAACACTGACCTCGTTTTTCAGAATTGCGAGTTGGGGAACACATTTTCAGACCCCATTCGGGATCAATTCTGTGAGTCATATGGGAAAGGAAAGGCCAAAACTTTGAGTTCAAAGCTTTTTTATAGGGGAGGGACTGATATTATCTCAAATTGGTCCTTAATCAAGCCGATGTCACCCTTGACATGCTTTGGAGATCAATTAGAAACCCAGAAGGTTGTTTTATAGCCTGTGCAAAAGTGGAAGTTGAAACCGAAAAACTGGCAGAAAAAGATGAAGGCATGGAGACAGTTCGAGGAGGGGACTTTGGAGCTCGATTTTTAGAAATTAAGGAATAGTCGATTTTCCAGATTCCTACCTCATGAAACCAGGTTTCTTCTGCTACAACAACATGGCACTGGATGACTGGAATGAAGACTGGAAGGCGTCGAACAAAAGCTCCAAAGATCGTATCGAAACTGAGTTTCTGTCTTTGGAAACCAGGCAATCCAAATCCTTCTCGTATTAGGATTCCTTTGTTGTTTTGTGTTTAATTCTTTTTTATTGTTGGTTTTGAATTTCTTTCTCAATTGTAATGTGTTTAGAGTTCTTCTAATAGTAGTAGGATTGGCTAGGTCTATTTAAGTAGTTTTGATTCATTGTAATTTCCAGTTTTGAGTTGAATTGAACAAACCTTGAGGTTGTGGTTCCATAGCATCTTGCTTTGAGAATTTGGAGAACTTCCTAACTGAACTCTATTTTTGTGATCTTTCTTACCGAAGTTCGATTCAATCCTTGGATTGAATCCAAATTGTGCTTCTCTGATCAAAACCACTCACCTTGGGAGCAATGTTCAAGAAGACGTTGGGCGTCAACTAGGCGGGGAGGCACCGCCCAGCGCCCAGGACGATTAATCGTCGCCTAGGCGAGATTAAACGTGGAAATTTTTTTACCTAAGAAGCCCTTAATCCACCATACTCATGCCTACAAATCTCAATCCAACATACCATTACCCCTTTTCCACATAAATCAGCAGCATATCCTACTACCCTTTATCATTAATCCATTACTCATCATTCATCAACCCACCAAACGAGAGCGGTAAGGACGAGTGAGTCACTGTAATAAACCGGGATATGAAAAGGGGTTAGTTGTAAGTAGGATAAGTATGGGGACTACTATGGATATTGTGTAAACAACTATAAAAGCTTCTCTACGGAACTGTAAGAAAGAGTAATAAATAAAAGAACATTTTCCCAATCTCTTCCGTCTCCTCTTCTTCTTCCCTTCTTCTGTTCGTTTTCCACATCTGCTCTCTTTCTGAATTCCCTCCTTCCCTCTGATTCTTCCTCTCTAGTCTTCTTCCTATTCTCAGATTCTATACTTCTTCTCTTCAATTCAAACTTCACGGACTCATACTTCGCCGGCAGCGGCGGTTTGCTGGAGAGGAGAGACGATGGCGGCGGTTGGCTAGAGAGGAGGGAAAGCTACGACGGCTGTTGTGCAGAAGGGAGAGTTGCTCGTCTGCTACCCGATTGGAAATGAAAGGGATTAGGGTTTTTTGGAGCCAAACGCAGCAGCATCTCCTCCCCCTTCTCCTGTTCAGGGGCGCCGCCCAACGGCAAGGAATCGCGACTTCGAGCTACTAGTCGTCGTCTCGGCGTTTTTCAACGCGATTCTGCGTTTTGCACGCCCAGCCACTTCGCCCAGGACTAGACTCCACGATTTCCCCTTGCCCAGCGCCTAATCGCGCCTAGGCGCACGCCTAGGCGCGTCTTCTTGAACACTGCTTGGGAGTTATCATCGTATCCGACCCGCAATAGCGGAGGACAACGCATGGGTATTGAGTTACCTGCCCCATCCCGCCCCATTGCCATCACTAGCTGAAATACATCTCGCGAGCTGCTGGAAAAGTCATGGCCTAAGCCTTGACCTTCGCACAAAAATGTGACAGTCTCTATCAACCTTACGGTTTTTCTGTTAGTGTCACAACCGTGAGGTTTGACTGTGGCGTGTGCGCTTCTCATGTATAAAAACTTCTGCAGCGGGGTTTGAAGAAGGAGAGCCAGATTTTCACCCAAAAACAACCAAGATGCAATTTCTAGAGAGAGAATGATCTAGAGTCATCTTACAGCTGGATTGGAGGCTTTGATTGTTATTGGAGCAAGAAGATCAAGCCTAGAAGATGAGCATAAAAAATTTTAGATCTTATACTGTATTCTCTCTCCTCTCTATGAATTAGTTATCTTCATTTGTTTTTATGCAAAATTTTGGTTCAATTGCATATCCAATTCTATCATCCAAACGACCACTCAATCTTTTCAATAACCCAAGAACTTTGTAAATTGTTGAGTTATGTTATTATGAACCTGTTAACAATTTTTTGCTTTAAATGTATTTGCACATATAAACGAAGCCTACGTAATCTAGATGCTAAACAAGACCATAATGTCCACTTTATGTCTACTGTATTCTTGAACTTTGAATATTATACATGTTTTGAACACAATACATTATTTTGATCGAAAAAGTCCAACCACCTAAATTTAAACTCAAAATATAACCAATGTTAACAAACTCTTAATAAAAATGCATGATTTCACAATATTTATCCTTCTCCTATCAATTCAAAATCGTGGGGGAAAAAAACCAATTCAAATTAACTCGTTCTAGTTGTTGCATATTCATCGTGTATTGTCAAAAGTGACTATTTGACCAAATTTCATCATTTCAAAGCAATTGGCACAAAGCATCCAATTCATCATCCAAACAACACCCTACATACTCATGCTACAATCATTAATTAAAAACAAAGAATAAGAAAAATATTCTCTACATATCCTTAATTGTACTTTTAGGATTTTGCTACGATGACATGCATGTCACTGTAACATGGACTTTTCGGTCGAGAGGCCGACCGAATGTGTTGTTTCAGTTATGTGAAGTTCAGCGACGCGGTCGACCGTCTATATAAAATGGTCGACATCTTTGGGGGTCGAACAGAATAAAAAGTCGACCCAAATACTTCATAGGCCGACCCTTTTGAACCTAATAGGTCGACCACATACAGACCGTATCCGTATTGGATAAAGATTCCAACACCAGAAAGGAAACTCTAACTTATCTAGCACTTAATTCGACCCACTCACGTTCTGAATTACGGTCGACCATGTTGCTTCTGACGCCAAAGAAAAGGGTGACCGAGGTTTTATTGTGGTTGACCAAAAATAACAACTTAAACTACAAACGGTTGATCATATGATCTTTGAGGTCAACCGCGATTAGTCCTTAAGGTGCCCAAATTAGTCAATTCAATCGACCGCTGTTACGATTAGGTCAACCGAAATGTCCATGTCACGGTGACATGCATGTCACCATAGGCACACCTGTACTTTTATTATTGATAAAAGATGACTATCAATACTCAACACAATAGTTCAAATCTAGATCTAAATGATTCTAAATATTATTTTTTTATATATTAGAAATTAAACCAAAACTATTCACAAGAGCAAGAGAAAGACAAGGAAAGCCTAGATCCACATTCATGATTAGTATTGGTTCATGGCCATATATTTACCAAAGTCAACGATCGAGGCTACCCTTCCGATTTCAATCATTGAAACGAACCGGTGGAAGGCAGACTGTAAAAAATGGAAAAACAGCGGCGGGACTCACCGGGAAAGAGCAAGATCCGGTGGAAGTTCGTCCGTTCAACGAGAAGATTAGCCAAGCAGGATCAAGGCGGAAAACTCCCAAAATCAAATTAAATGGAAGACGGCATGCGGCAATCGATGGGAAGAGATTTGTAATCGCCAAGGGAATTGGATTGATAGAAAAAGAAGACAATAGAGCGGCAGCCAAGATTGCGTCTTCTCCCTCTACCGTACATGTAGACAAAGGCAGGGCTGCGCTGCTAGGTCACAGAATGGGCTGGGCTGGGCTCGACTCATCCATTCGGCCCAATGCTGGTGGCGAAGTATTGTCAACATCACTAGACTCGTTTTTATACAAGTGAATGTTTTCAAATCAGTTTTGTTTGTTGGTTTTATGGTGAAAGTGTGTTGAGAGTTAATGGTTTAATCGTTTTAGATCAAAAATTGTTGATATTTTTGAAAAAAAAATTTATAGTGGTATTTCTGGAAAAAGTTATGGTTTGGACATCCTTCTAGTAATACAGAGAATAGTCATGATTTAATCGTTTGCACTTCTGATCAGTGTTGTTAAAATCGGACCGAGTAACGATCCGCATTATTGAGAGGTTTAAGGTTTATCGGATAACCGGTATAAAAACGATAGTAAAACCGGTGGGATATAATTTTTTGAAATAAAATGAGAATGACTTCATTATACATATGAAATTAGTACGTGTTTAAATTGAGACTTCTACATCTTATTACCATATTCATTTGAAGAATTCAAGATTAAATAATATAATCATAGGACTTATAATTAAATAAGAATATATTAGGGTTAATATTTTCGTATGGCCTGAACTTTGACCAAAATAAACATCCTGGCCAATCTTTTCGATCTATAACATAATAGCCCGAACTATACACCAAAATAAACAATTTGGCCAAACTCGATGTTTGACCGTTAACTTGGGGATGAGTTTTTTTACCTTTTTTAGTTTTGACGGAACATGATGGTGAATGGAGAAATTGAATGGAAAAATTGAAAAAGAGAAAAGAGGAAAGGAAATTAATGAGAAGAAGAGAGTGAACGTAGAGTGTGATTTGAGGAAGAATGAGAATAAAAAAGATAAATGTAGGAAGTGTAATTGTGTAAAGTGAGTGGGTGGATGAGTGTTAAGAGAAAGGATAAAAGTGGTAAGTGGTAAAAAAAAAGAAAAATAAATATTCTTCCTCACATTTCATTTAATGACTCGGTTTTAAGGAAGAGAGATAAATTTCCATCATTAAAAGTAAGAAATGGAAAGTAAACAGTGGTTATAACCTCCGGTTCGGGTCATCCGGATTTGTCGGTTAATCGGTTGAACCGGTCAACACCCGCCTGTCAGTTTTTTTCGCGTTTTCAAGCAATCGAAACCCGAAGGTTGGACGGGTTTAGTTTTCCACGGTCGGATTGTCCATTCCGACCAGGTTTTGATAACAATGCTTCTGATCAATGTTAAACCTCAAAAGCCTCAAGAACATCCTTCTAATAATGCAGAGAATAATCCAAAGAAGGAAGAAGTCAAAGTAATACCAACTAGGGTATCCAAGAGTTATCCAAACTCATACAAGGACGATGAGGATAAGGAGAAGATCCTAAAAAGTGAAGCTCACTACCCAAACCTCTTTAAGAATTGGCTTAATACACTTTCATAGCCATAACTATTCGCGTTGTGACAATTATAGCCACTTTTTGAAAAATACACTCATATAGCCATTCCGTCACAAACTTTAACGGCATCACTGTAAATGCTGAGTAGACAAACGTTTTCTACTGACGTGGAGACTTTTCGTCAAAAAAGATGCCAGGTGGAAATATTATTTTTTATTTAATTGCAATTACATGAAAAAAAAATTAAAATATGAAAAATCATCTTCCTCCAGACCATCTGCTTTTGCGATCTCTTCCCTAATTGAAACCCCCAAACCCATTCCCTCGTCAAACTCAAATTCAGTTTCAAGAAAACCCAAAAACTTCCATCACCCAAATTCAGATTCAAGAAAACTTAATACGACGAAGGCGTGGAAGGGAGGGCGGCGGCGGCGGCGGCGGGAGGGCGAAAAGGGAATTTGGTGTAGAGGAGATAGAACTTATAGATGGATCCTAAAGCTACACCGCCGGCAGGATGGGCATGTGATTTGATCGACAATCGGACCCCACGCCGATGGTGAGGATGAGGAGAGGAGCGCGGAGAGGGCAGAATCAGGCCGTCAAGCCCGCCGCTTCTCCGACATTGATATCCGACCTGGGTTATGACGCCTACTCTAGCGAAGGAAACCCAATCGTTGCGCCTGCCTCTCTCTTGGTCGAAGAACTGGGTAGATTCGAAGAGGAAGTTGAAATCGCCGACAAAATCATGTCTATCGGAGTTGGGAATTTTAAGGGCGCTGGCGCAATTGGCCAGGGAAGACAGAAAGAGTCGGGATATCTCCCTCCGACGAGGACCTGGAAACTTGAATCGAGGACGAGACACCAAGGGAAACTTCTCGACATAGATGGCCGCATCTTTCGATATAATAGCAGGCCAACAGCTGGTTGATTAGGGATTTTTCCCCTCCGGCGAGCGTCTGGTTGGTTCTTCTTTAATCTGAATTTGGGTTTCGACTTTCGAGTTTTGACGAAGAGATCTAGGGGTTGGAGGAAGGTGAACAGGCGGTGTGGGGATGGGAAAAAAATTAATTATATAAAAAATTTAATTTGTTGGTGGAATCCAAGTTAGTGCTGACGTGGGCAAATAGGGGTCTAGTTGGCGATGACATGTCATCCACGTGGAAGCCACGTCACTTGGCGATGACGGCGTTCGTTACTACATTAACGGTAGTAATGGAAATGGCTATAGTTGACAAAAAAGTTTTACAAACATTTAATTTTTGGCTATACGAGTGTATTTTTCAAAAACTGGCTATATTTGTCACAACGCGAATAGTTATGGCTATGAAAGTGTATTTTGCCTTAAGAATTTAATAAAAACTCTTGCATGAGCAGAAGTAGCAGTGCCACTATTGAAAAATTCCAATGGAGAAGCTCGAGATTCTCTTTGAAGAGAATGATAAATTTGAAGAAAAGAAGCCTACTATCTAGAAAAATCCTTGGGTTGTGAAAAGTTCACCTAGTGTAGAAAATGAAGAAAGATCCGGGGAATTACATCATTAATTGTCTTTTGTATGACCATCACATGAAAAAAGAACTAGTTGATCTAGGTGCAAGTATCAACATCACACCTTTGCAAGTCTAAGAAAGCATTGGACTGACCACATGGAGGATGTCAACATCGAAATCATACTTGCAACCAACACCCCTTGCAAAGCACTTGGAGTTGTTAGAAGTCCAAGTACCCAAGGTAGACCATTCATATTCTTTACAGAGTCTGTGGTGATCGATATGAACATTAGTGAAGCATATTCGATCCTTTTTTGGAGGGGCAAAGTGAAGCAAAGGAGGTCGAGGGGAGCACCCCTCTGAGAGGAACAAGGAAGGAACAAGAGAGAATACAAGGAAATAATGGGAAGAAGGCGGGTCAGGAAACAACAACAAGCGATCAAGGAAATAAAAAGAAAGATGAATCAAAGGTGAAAGGTGTGAGGAACCGATCCCCTCTTGGGAACAAATGAGAATCCGGAGTTACAACTGCCATGGTTTGGGGAGCACATGTGCAGTTAGAAGCTTGAAGTCGTTGTTGCGACAGGTTTATTAGAGATTTTGTCAGGTTAAATTAACAAGACGCTGACGAGGATGTCACCTTAACGCACACGATAGAGACAACTTGGCAGATCCTGCCCTTGTTGAGGAGAATTGGAGGTGGATTGTGTGATTTTATTTATCTATTATTCTTTATAGTTATTGTTATGCGAGTGAATTTAGTTAATTCTGCATGTTAATATTTTTTAATAAATGTCGCCAATTTAGCAAAAACATTAGTGACTCGTCTCGAATATCACAATAAAAATTCCAATTAAGGCCCAAGTATAAACGTTAACCGGGTGCAATATAGGGCAAGTATGTTCAAAAAGTCAAAGCCGGCTCGATCCATGTACCCCTACTTCGATTGTTTGAAACATTATCTAGCCATTGGTGTTTGGTTAAAATTACGATTTATAACTAAAATGATGGGAAAAGTAAATGGTTTGAACACTAATTGAGAAGGCTTCACCCAGGTGTTGCTCCCCCTAGCTAACAATCATGATTTGTCGGATCGAATGTGAATGTGTGGTAAAGCCGGTTGTAAACAATAGGGAAGTGCAACAAGTGAACAACCACCACTCTCGATCTCTAGGCCAAGGGATATCAAATCAAGCTACTAAGGTAGCTCTCTTGGCTCAATCGGCTAAAAGTTTCTTACTTCACCCTCGAACTATAATTTGGACGACCAAATTACAAACTACCAAAGGTGCTAATACGTATTAAAAGGTTTTCCCTAATTCAACCTAGGTATATGACACAATTGGCCAAGGAACTCCAGCTTTTACAAGCCTCTTAACAAGAAGGGGATTTCCCTCTACCTATGTCAAAATGGCATAAGAATTGAAAATGCAAGAATACACACAATCTTCATGAAAATACCTCATAAATTGTATTAAAACACAACCACACAAATCATTCAATCCATACAAACATTCACATAATTGTAGCTAGGGTTTACAAACACCCAAGTGAAAGAAAAGTCTACTCCATGCTAAGTAGAGGGAATACATAAGGGAGAAGAGAGAAAACCATCTTGGAGATGTTTGCCTTCTTCCTTGTGGTGTGGAGATCGACTTTAAAGGAAGAACTTCACAAAATCTAGCTCTTGGATGAAACCCTAAATTCTCTTCTCCTCTTGTTCATCACTTTCTCACTCTAGAAATCTGAAGAAGTCTCTCTCACTATGTTCCTCTCTTTTTCTCTTTTAGCTCATCTCTCTTTATAAACCCAAATTGACGACGTTTCATTGTCCCAGTTCACGGCCGTGAACATCTGGCCCAGACCGTGATGTCGATAAAAATGCGTCGTTTCTTTAAGGGGGTTCACGGTCTGCAGCTGGTCTTCACGGTCGAGTGACCGTGAACTAGTTTATGCTCGCGAGATGGACAAAACCCTTCTAGACTCCTCGCTCTTCATGGTGTATGCCTCCTCTTCACGTTCTGGATGACCGTGAACCTCTGCCTTCCATCGTGATCAGCTACTACTGCTCCCTTTTGACTGATTTCCGCCCTTTTTCATCCAACTTTCGTTCCATGGGTTGATTTCACCTGCTAGGATTTGAAACATACTATAAACAAGCACAACCTAGCGTAAA